ATATGGTCGGAAAACTTCTTAGACTCCATGGCTGTTGGTTTGAGATTGTTTCAGGAAGGGTGTGGACATATGAGAATGAAAGTTTTGAAGTATCTGTCATTTAACAAATTATTCTAACTGAATGCTTTTTAAAAAAAAAAAAAAAAAGAAATCTAAATGTATGCGCAAGCTGTTGTTTACTTGCTGTGAGCTAAATTTTTTAGACAGATTGAAAAGGTGGCTTGATTTTGGTCAATGTTATATTTTTTTCTCCTGCAAACATTGTACGTGTCTGTGTAAGATGGCATTGAGAGAATAAAAATTGGCACAAATGCTTTTCGAACACGTCTTCCTCTATACAAAGAAAGTTGAAGCAGGAGCTGCAGCCCATTCTTTGCTGCACCTTCCTCCTTCTCTTCCACTGGCCTACTTCCCAACGGCTGCAAGGAGAAGACGAAGTAGAGGTCTGAATACAAAGTGGCAGCAGTGTCTCCCTTTACAACCATCATTTTCGTCTGTCTTCTTGCTTAGATGTTCTTCAAACCCTCTTGAATCAAAACAGGTGTGACAATGCTGGCGTTACTTCAGGGCTTTTCTATTTTTTTTTTTACTAAAACATCCAACGTATGTATATGCGTATATTTGGGTTCTATGCTGACATGCTTATATTAAGATTTTTCGATATAGTAAAATGTGTTTGCATGGTGCTTGCCATCACTATATGTAGAATAAATTTTTACGTAAAAAAAAATGTATGTAGATAAAATTCTCCCACTTGACTCGGGTGTTCTCATCAGTTTGTGTTTTGGTGTAAAGTCAGGTAAATGCATAGGATCTCAGACAGGTACTGAAGGGAAATGTGAAAAACAAATGTGTGTCAAATCAAAATTAACATTTAAATAATGCAAAACCTCGCTGAAAGTTGGTATAGTTAAAATTAGGACAGTTTTTCTCTTTGCTGTGCAAGGCTTTGTTACATCTGTTCAGGCGGAAAATTGTACATGTAGGGTTAGTTGGAATTTTTGATATGATTTTAGGAATTTGTTAAAGGTTTATGGAAAACTCAAACAAGAGAATGGAATCCAGTATAAGCCACTATGTACTGTCAAAACTTAAATTGTTGGTGCCCTGTAGCACAAGTGCTGCCAGTATTCTGCATTTATTTGTTTTATGTTATTTGTTATGGTGTTTGTAAATATTCACTTCTTTATTGTACAAGGTGACCAATTTGCAGTGCATGCAAAATAAAACAACAACAACAAAAAAAAAAAAACTCTGTAAACAAGTATGCAGCTGATGTAGGAGTAGGAATAAGTGATGATGATTCAATCTAATCAACGATTCAATAATGGATCTCTGCAGGACCAACGTTTGCCATGTCTGTTTTATAGGATGGAGAAAAGGGACCCCCAGAGAAGATTTGTATTACTGGAAGTTAACGTAACAAGAGAGTTTCATGTCAATGGTAAAGAATGGGTCCCATAGCACAACCTTGAGACCTTTTTTATTAGTATAAGCTGTAAGGAAGCTGGAAGTTAATGAAGACAGTGAAGCAACTAAAATCAGGTGATGTCTGAATCGATCACTTTGTGCAAACACTTTGTTGTGTGATTAATTTAATATTTGGCTTTGTATGTATCTTTATAAAAACTTCAAATTGGCGAACTTGGTGTCCTTAATAGCAAAAGTGAACAATTTCTTTTTCTCTTTTTAGAGCGGCTATATTAAATGTATGAAAGTAAGCAAACTATGTCCATAAATAGGACATATCAGCAGATCAGTCCCACAAAATAACAGTTAAGTGTATTTGTACAAAACCACTTCCAGAATAAAACACCGGAGCCCAGAGCTAAGGATTCAGTAACAGACAGGAAACAGAAGGAAGAGGATTAAAGATGGAATAAGTGGATGGTAAGCAGTGGCAAGGAAAAATGACAGATGTTGCCATCAGTGGGAGGGTTGTTGCAGGGAACTGTCACTCTGATTTAGCCTAAAACAGAGGAATAATGGAAGACGACAGAGAGGGGGGAAATGAAAAGCCCAGAGATGGTCAGATGGCAGTGGACATGGTCAATCTGGAGTGACATTGCATGCAGATGAAGGTTACATAAACAGCCGGTTCTTAAATTTCTAACTGTATATAATTCTGACTCTATATAATGTATGCTATGTGCGTTTGGAGACCCTGGCCTGCTTCCTCTGAGCTGGAATCAGGCCAGTTGGACTGGTGCTGAGTGAGGACTGCCTGCACATGGATTCTGGTGGGAGAGAGAAGATAAAAACAGAGTGTAAGAGAGACAGGACAGGAAGGTTAGGCTGTGTGTTATGCTGAAGGGATTTAATAATCTCCACTGACTGTTGACAGCAACAAAACATTGTTTTGACACTATAAAAACTTATTGCTCTTAAGTCAAAGTTATAGAAAAGTTACAATGTGTATATCTATGCATATTATGTGATGCAGAATTTAGCTGCTATTCCTGTTAGGGTTTGAAGTAGGTATACACCTTGCCTTTCTGACATTATTTTAGTTAACTAACATAATTAATGTTACCAAATCAGTTGTTTGGATACTTGCATTATGAACTTTTATTTTCAGATTTCTTTTTTTATTTGTCATGTTTTTGCAACTATTGCTTCAGGTGCAGTGAAGATATCACAGTTAAGACCTTGCACAACAGATAAATAAATAAGTAGTGCTATGTTGGTTTATAGAGTGCAGGATTTCAAAGAGCAACTCGACCATCTTAAATCAACAGCTACCTTTGCAAACTCATGTTCTTGTGACAGCTGGCAAAAGGCTACAAGGTTAAATTTACCACATATTAAACTGATTTAACATATTGGAGAAGAAATTGTAAAAAAAAAAAAAAGAAAGCCTTCAGAAAACAGCCTTGATATTTTGAGATGTCAGAATTAAATGATTAATTTAAATAAACCTCCACCATGTGGAGCTACACAATATATGACGTCACAATCAGCATCATGAGATTGTTCTTTGCAAGCATGGAAATGAAAAGGACTGCTCTGAAGGAATATTTGGTTGGCTGCTACTGTAGATATAAAGTGACATCTAGTCACACTGATGCCAAATATAATTCTTCCAGCTGGAGGGAATCTCACTGACCTTGATGCCCACACAATATTGATTTTAATGATCCACATGCTAACGCTCACAGGGAGAGGTGGGGGCATTGCGATGATGGAAAAAAGGAGGGTAGAGTGAGGCTGTTATGGATTACTATCACATCACAAATACAAATTTTAAAAAGCACTTTCAAAAACAGGAAACTGCATTCATTTTCCTAATGAAATAAGTTGCATGTTTATTTTGGTGCTGTTTTAGGAAAATTGTAAAATATAGAAAAAATAAGAAGAGACTGGAGTCTCTGATGATTACTGATATCTTAAAAGTTTTGCTCAGTTAGCTGAAGTGCTTTAAAGTTCAAAAGCAAGACACAAAATCTCAAAATACACACGGCTTGTGGTGTAAAGGTAAGACTGGTCCTAAACATAGCACTCCATGCTTTGATTCCTGACTTTGGGGATTTGTTGTATATATTCCACACTTTTCATTCTGACAATTTCAAGAGGAAAAAAAAAATTTTTTCTAAACTATCACCTGATTTTTTTCACTTTTACAATTCATCAAAAGATTATATATGTTATTCAGAGTTGTATGTATTTTATGTGTAATTCTCAAGAGTTAAAACTGGTCACTTTTATGAACTAAAGAATAAAGTTGCCATTATTGCTACAATTTTTTCTATAGACTATGCGATTTTATAAGTGAATTAAACGTTTTATTTATGGTAGAAGCATTTTTACTGTCAGCTTGGTCTTTGAGTGGGTTCATAACAATGACAAGCATGTCACAGAAAAGGCAACAAGATGAAAGCTGAATGTGGGTTCACAGCTCCAGATTGGAGATGGAAAGAGTTGGACAAAACAAGCAGTAAAAAGGCAAAATGGAAATGTGGTGGGGTTTTATCTTCCTTTTTCTCTTTCTTCTCATGTTCCTGTTGAGGGCCTAGAACGTTCATAAAGAATTTACCATGCTGCTAATTTTAGACAGCTCAGTAAAAAGCTCTACACTGAACAAGAGATGGTGGAGACTTGTGCTCAGTCAGGATTTAAGTATATTGAGCTAGTTTTTGTGGATACTGAAGTTATAAAATTTGACTGCCTCATTAAATATGAGTTTCAGGATATACTTAGTTCCTCGAAGGTTCTGTAAAAATATTGAGAGAGTCCATAACATTTATAGACATTTTATATTTAAAATGTGGTGCAAGCTTTGAAATTCCATTAACATTCTGTTGCTTCAAAATTGATTTCTCGGTCAAGTTCTTGTACTGGTTTTGCACGCTTGAGGTATTTGCATAACATAAGTGTGATCTATTCATTCACAAATGTGGTAAACTGAAGCATAAAGAAGAGCTGAGGAAACTCCTCAGCTGAGACTGGTCACAACATTTTTGCTTTTCTATACTGAAAAGACTAGAATTTATTAAGCAGGAACTGCCAATGCTCTTTTCAAAGCACCGTGTCACATTTTTGCTCTTGCAGTAGAGTTGTGTATATGCTGCAGATGCAACATTGTGCCTCTTAAACAAGAGATTTCTTTGCTGTGGTAAAATTGCAACCACTGACAAAATGACGCTGTTGTGCCGATTCCTGCACTTCAAAGTGTCTTTTTTGGTTAGTCAGTAACAAAATCCCCACCCTGGCTTGTAAAAGCCACTTCTTGCTTGGATTTTTCCCTTGACATAGTTGCAGGTGGCTTAGTGATGTTTGTTTGGATGTCAGGCTGCTGGAAATGGGGTTCGCCTCTCAGTCTCTGAATTACAAACAAAAAAAAAAAAGAAGAAAAAAGTAAATAAAGATTCCCCAGAGAAAAAACAGACCAACCAGCTTAAATCTTCATTTACCAAGAATGTATTCAGTGAATACATATGACATTGGCCATCTGGGATTGTCAGCATCTCTAATCCTCTACGTTTTTCTTCCTTCTTTTCCAGATCATGCCCCCCAGATAGCGGTCTCGTCATCCTTTCCACTCCCCCCTCCCTTGTCCCTTGGCCCCGTCCTTTACCTTCCTGGTTCATCGCCACCACTGCCAGCTTCACCACCATAGCCACTATGCCTCCCAGGAAGAGGACACGGGCGGGCTTGGGCTTCCTGTGCTGTTTTGGAAGCAGCGAGCCACCGGAGATCAATCTTAAGGACACCGTGCCGCTGCAGCTGCTGGAGTTCAGCTCCCCCATGCCACCTGCAGAGGAGCTGCATGCACGCTTTTCTGAACTGGTGGTGAGTAAAAATTAAAACATTTGTCTCTGATGAAAAAAAGTTTTTATGCCAAACATATTTTACTTTAATGTACACTATTTTTTTTTTTTTTGCACAGCTCATGTGCAGATATATTCAAAATTCTGCTCCTTTAAGATAGCCAGCAGCTTTTAGTTTGGATTTTTTTCTGAACTAGTTTTATTAGGTTGAATGTTCATTTGCATCACATCAAAATCTCTACTCATCACAGCAACTAAATGCACAGTCATTGCACACAGAACTTTGTGGTTTAAGTGTTAAATTAAAGAATTTTGAAAACCCAAGCATACATTTCTGATGAAATTAGATCACACAGGGCCAATAATATGATTTTTAACACAGAAAGACTATTTAACATTGTCACTGACAAGGAACAAGACTATGTTGACTGAGTATCTTAGTTTTTGGTTTGAAAATGAAAGGAACATATCCACGAGACTTTTTAACAGAAGGAAGCTGAAATTTCCTGATAGGTGGTTGTGTTGACTTTGGACTGGATAAAACAATGTGGACCAGGTTTCAAGCCTCCTTCTGCCGCAGATGAACAAACTCCCCAAATCACCACTGACTGTAGAAATGTCTCTCTGGTTGTCAAGCCACTTGGAAACGCTGCTCCTTCACACTCTGTGACCTTATTTTCTGAATGAAATGCTAATTTATTTTCATCTGAAAACACTAATGCAGTTGCATGTGTAACTTTTTTTCTTCCACTCAACTTTCCATTAATATACCTAAACATAGACTTAAGATGAACAGCCACCTTCCTTAGCTTTAATCTTTTCTTAAGCTCTACATTGAGAGTGACGTTTTGCTGGGAAACTATTAAGTCTGCAGCTTTACCCATCATTTTGATGTTCATAATATTGAAAGTGCATAACTGTTACATACTACAGCACACTTGTAGTGGTCGTGTGTAATATTTCAGCATTCAGACAATTCTATCATAATTAACAGAAATAAACACCCCGAAAACATAACTGTGTGTAATGACTTCATGTCATTATGAATTTCACTTTTTGAATTGACTCATTGAATAATGTGCGACATGCCAATCACTAAAAGCAGAACAAGCCTCTTCTTACTGTTTTCCTTCTTGGCTTGCAGCCCGATAGTTTGCGTGTTGCTCATTATCCTGAACAAATAGGATTAGAGGCAAGAATTAAAATGCTTGGGTCTTGCGGAAGTTGTCTTGATGGTTGGCTGAGGCCAGGCCCCAACCCCCATCATCAAACTGAGACGAACACAGTGCACATCTCGTGCACATATCACATTTACTGGCAGAAGCCTAGCGTTTGCACCAGTGCCAGACGGGGATCGTTGTGCCGACATGTGCCCAGGCAATGGAGAGAGATCAGGGCACAGCTGTCAGAATGGAGAGCTCTGGAGTGAGTTTCGGCTGCCCTGCAAGAACAGGGCTGTGCTGTGTTTGTCTGTTTGCTCACTTCCTGTCTCATGGTCGCTGTCAGTCTCATCTGATTTCATCGTAGCACCCTTCTTGCTTCCCTTTGGCCTCGGATTTCCTGCTTTATGCTATCCCTCCCAACATTATGTCTAACGGTGTGCCTGCACCGTTAGACACCGTTAGACACCGTTTTAGTTTTCTCAGAGAAAACTAAAAGTCTGTCTGCAGGATGTTTCCCTTCACTGTTGATTTAAATTCAGGAAATATTGAAAAAAGTTGATTTTTTTTTTTTTTTAGCTAACTGAGAAGACAGACAACAGGTTTGCATTGTTGGCCTTCTGGTAAGCACTTGGAACATATAAACCATTAAACAACAGTAGCGGAAGATATTTGTCAAGATTGAAAAAAATTATTAATGAGGTTGTAACAATTATACCATCATTTGCCTCAGATGATTTTTTTTTTCTTTTACATAAAGTGGAAGACCGCCTGGCCTTGCTGAATATGTAAAACAACAGTTTGCAAGTTCACATGTGCGATACAAGTCAAGGCTTTGCCGAGATATTTTTGCATCAATTCTGCTTTGACTAATAAAAAAAATATATAATAAAACAATCGGAGACTGTTTTGAGTTTTTCCTCCCTGCTCGTCATATGGGAGCATTTAACCAAATCACAGCAGCAATCCTCGTGGTTAAAAGCACTGAACGACCCGTGGCTTCTTCTGGGGTAAAATTAAGATGAAAGCAAGACAGATGCCTAAGTGAGGCGGAAGAAAGCCAAAATTATTTGCCACCAATTTATAAAACTCCTGGATTTTTCTTTCCTAACCAAGAAAAGCAAGAAGGTTTTGAAACACTGAAGACATCTGCTTTTTTGGAGGAAAAAAAGAAAGAAACGGCTTTCCATACATGCAGGTTACGATCCTCTTTTGCTATAAAGTCTAAAAAGATAAAAGGAATTTCCGGTAGGCCGATTGCCCAGTGCCTGTCAACTTAATCCATGTCTTCTTTTTCCATGACCTCTGCATGAACATATTTTCTGAAACCAAGGGCACCTGGCTTCTCGATGTCTGTTTCACCGATGAGGCAGCAGACAACAGGACACAGTTTTGACAAGTCATCCAAACACTGGTCTAACCAGACCTCTTGGAGACAGCTATCCTGTGTTCTCTGTTTTTAACTGAAGCGCAGAGCTCGAGCGGATGTTGGGAAGAGAAGGGCAGGAAGGACAGAGAAATAATACATAACATAGTGAGTTTCCATGGAAATGGAAGATGGGGATTATTGTTTTGAAAGTCTTTCCTGACTAGGGAAACAAGACTCTGTGGACTTTTTGAAATGGGATTGACAGATCTGGGCCAAGTGAAAAAAAGTAAACCACCTACACGTCTCATATGCATAATGGGGTCTTTTTTTTTACTGTCAGAAGGTGACACGCTGCACAGTCAGCAACCACATTATTTGTGGAGTGGGGACAGGAAGGGGGTGGGTTTATAAAAGAAAAATTCAAATCTGTAACTTTTTATGCCTTTTTTGTTTAATCTTAAACCAAAGGTAAATTCCTTTTACTTATTGGGGAATAGAAACCACAATTAACTGCATAGCGTTCACCACATTTGCGTTATTCTGTCCAGTATATAGTCCAGTCAGTTTATTCGCCACAGTGGAATAAAGTCAAGCACCTTGGCATATATGCTGGTTCTGCAAACATTTGCACCAGAATGGCTTGTTCTAAAAATTCAAGCCATAAAGCAAAATCCATAAGGGCATGCATAAATGAGATTTGTGTGGAGATTGCTTTTTTTAAGTGAGTGGAATGACTCAGAGTGCTGAGATCCTCACTGTCCTGCATAGATCTCAAACCATTGCTTTAAGCAAACACGTCTCTTTTATGTTTTGCAAAATGCACTTGTAAGACCTGTGGGGCCGGCAGTGAAGGAAAATTGACATGACGTGTAGTCCTCGGCCTGTAGATCAAGAAACTACTGTAACAAGACAAGCATGTGTGGTTTCCATTCTTGGTTCGCTTGTGTAAACACTGAAGTGTGTTCTGTCAGATGCACAGCTCAGCCGGAGAAAGTGTTAATAATAAACCTGCCACTGAGTTTGTCATAAACCCAAATAAAATCCTAGTGCAAACCTGGAAACAATCACTGCTGATCGTCACAGTGTAAGCATCACTTCAGTTAAACTATACATTTTGCATCTGGCAGCAGCTGCATGTGTTGTAGGTCTGCTTTTTGGATCACAGTACACTTTTAAGTCCCCCCACCACCACCACCACCACGAACTTCTAGGCTTGCATGCATAGTTGATATATTGGCCATGTGTGAAGTCTGGCGGCACACCAAAAAACATCAACAGCTTTATTTTTGTTTGTCTGGACTATTCCCTCCTAATACCTTTTATCATCAAATGAGCAATTGCTCTCATGGTTTGATAATTTAAAGTGGGTTTGCCTGAATAGGTCCGGCCCTTTGGTTCATTTCTCATTGGTGGCAGCTCAGTAAACCAAAATGAACCTTTTGTTTCTACAAAGAAAAGCCAAGTGTGAGGTTGTTCAGGGACAAGTACGCTGGCATTTTTGCGCCCAATCTAATAACAATGAATGTTTACTTTGGGGAAAATTGGCATATGGGAGCAATCTGCTGAGACATTTATACAGATGTAAAGGATAAAGTTCCCAGTTCTCTAATTTTTTTTTATATTACTTATCTATTATGTCCCACATTTTCAAAATATAGGAAAGAACAAGCATGCGTTCTGTCCACCTGTGATGATTTGTTGCGAGGATGTAGCGCACAGTGTGTCTGCCAAATTGAATCGGCTCTACTAGGCCAACATCTGGATTGTACAATACTCACAGACACGAGATTAATGTTCGCTCTGCTTTGCTCTCTGACCTCTTTTTCTCTCCGTCTGTTTTTGTCTTCCCTTTGCTCTCTGTCATAATTTAGGACAACTTTAATCCAACTGTTCTGTAGTGGACCCAGCTGTGGTCCAGATGCGTAATCATTTACTGTATCGTTTAGCAGTGACCTTCGGCAGTGTCCACTCTCTGTGTTTTCTCATAAGAAAAATGCAAAATGTATTCCTGACGGTAGTGTTGGTAGAATGACCATTTTTGATCTGAAATGGTCAAAAATGGAAAATATTTGAAACGTTTTGAAACATAATTCCATTGCCAGTGTTCCATGCTGTGTGACTTTTGAGCCGGACACAAATCAAATCCGTTGCATAACGGCAGGGAATGGAAACGTTCTCCTCCCTCTGGGCTTTGGGAGTGAGTTTCCTTCCCCGTACACACCCAGGGATGCACCCATCGTTCCTTTCCGTTTCCCTCCCTTCCTTCTCTTGCTATTCTAATTTTTTAACGTTCTCTTCCTAAACTGCTGCAATGCCAGCCCTCACTGTCCTGAGTCAGCCCCATCATGAATATGGCCAAAGCATGTTTAGATGAGAGCTGTCTGCTACAAGTTGCTACTGTCTGAATCATCGGAGCGGTTATGACTCATATAAATTCTTCAGAACAAAATGTGACTGAGCCTTTATTAACAGAGTCAAAAGACTAGTGGTAGT